CCTGGCATGAAGGTACTGTGATTATATCAAACTAAAATGAGTCACCTCATGCTGCTGGAGTTGTGTGCTCTGAGAAAGCTCTCTCTTTGACATAATCTTTTCTTAAAAGTCAGATCTTTCCTCTGGGAAAGGGGAAGTCTTGGCTTAGGCTGACCTACCTCACTTGTTTTTGGCTGGAGAAAGACATTTTTCCTTGGCTGCACATACACCCTGTGACTTTCACTCAGAACCTCCCTGAGAACATTTTTTAAAACCATTATTTAGTTCATTCTAATTGGGCAGCACGAATCCTGGTTCCAAAAGAGATTTTATTCTCCTAGCCTGATAAAATGCCCGTCCTTTTATTCAGATACCTCTTCGTTGCTGTAACAAATGATGCTGAAGTTTTCACAGGTCCTGGGGACATGGTCAGATCTCAGCCACGTTCTCCTGCTATCGTCTGACAGCAATTTATGTTACTGCAGAATTTGCCTTATTGAAACCATTTGTGGAATGGAAATTCAGACAGATTCATGCACAGAAGATGACTCTTTGCTTAGCCATGATGTATGAAGTGATCTCATTTAACATCGTTGAAGGCAGTGGGAATTTTGTGTGAGGAACTGCACCACAAATCTTGAAGCAGAGAAATCTTGACTTAGTGATGTTCTGCATGTTCCCTGGACAAGCATATAGAAAAAAAAACATTTTATTATGAATGACACAACTAAGCACACTGTAAACTAGCAGAAAGTTTGCTTACTGCTTGGTTCACACGCGTTTTGCACCTGGCCAGACGTGCTGGTTAGGCATGTGGCTTTTCACTTTAACGCTTTCCCTGGGCTAATTGCTCAGCATGGATACAGTTATATATGTTACTATACTTGTTGCTTTTCTCCAGCTGTCAGTCTAACTGCCTGCCTGCTGAATGCCCAAGATTTCAGACAAGCAGGAGCCAAATCTAGCCAAGACATTATAATAATACAAGGATGTCTTATACCAGCATCACTTATTCCACTTTGCATAGGATAGCCATACAGCAACTTCATATGGATGTAACCATCACCAGAGGGAGTTGCTCTACTTAAAAGTAAATGACTGTGGCCCAACTGTTGTGTGCAGATAAGATGTAGTTTAAGAGAAAATGGCAGTTAATTTTCTCTGTTTCTTGTAATAATAGTTTTAAAAACATCATATGTCATCAAATACCTACCATTTAAAGTAACACAACTCAGAAATCTGCTTAGCAGTAAATTTTGAATTTCTAATTGTTGCCAGTGGTTGTGTTTGCTAAGGATTTGTGCCCGATTCCTATAATTATTTCACAAGCTGCTAAGAATGCTTTATACTAATAGTTGGAGCCATAAACCTGCTGAGAACTGCTTTGTTAAACAAGAAATTCTTTAGAAAGTCAAAGCTGCTTCTCTTTTTTTTTTCTTTTTTTTTCTTTTTTCTTTTTCCTTTTTTTCTTTTTTCCTTTTTTTCCTTTTTTCCCCCTTTCCCTCCCCTCCTTTTTTTCCCCTTTTTTTCCCCCTTTTTTTTCCCCTTTTCTTTTTCCCTTCCCCCCCCCCCCCCCCCCCCGAATGGGCCATTCAAAAGTGAACTTGGTAAGACATGAACTGCTCTGTAGCGGGAGCGAGGAGCCTCTGTAACTGAGTGGACTAAAGTGTCTCGTCGTTTAGGTGTGCACTGGCCTCCCAATGGAAGGGCAACGTGGATATGAAATGGGCTAAAGCTGTCCTGTGACAACACACCCCTGCCAGGGACTAACAAGAAGAAGAATATCCAGAAAAGGTGAGAAATATATTCTTTCCAGTGTTGCCAGCTAAAGAAGTTTTTCTTAATCCTACAAAAAATCTGAAATCCCTTGCCTAGTTTCCAAGACAGACTGGAGGTGGAAGCATGTGAGGAATGGAAATGGGTGGCATGAAGAATTCCCTATTGAATGTGAGTATAGAGCATTGAAGCACAGAGCCCTGGCCTCGGCTGAGCTGTTGTAACTCTAGCAGTTTGGTCGTGCAGATGGAAGAAGGTCTAATTTCAGCAAGTCACCCGCCCCGTGCCTCAGTTTCCCCAGCTGATAGTAGGGATAATCCAGTCCAGACATTGCATGCAGTACTTTGGGAAGTTAAGGTGAAATGGTTGTGTGCAGGAGGCCTAAGTGTTATAACATCAACAATCATTTTTATGTGAAGACCATGAGCAGCTCTTGAAGTTTGGTCCTGCAGGAGAATTCTCACTTCTTTGGTATACAATCCATGAACTGTAATGCACAGACCATAGTTTCTCCTTAGTAAATGTCAAAGCTGTATGTCTGCCAAAAGAAAGGCCAGTAAATGGTGTCTGGAGTAGCTATTAATCTTTAGAATTAGTTGCTCCAAGTCCAGATTGCAAGTATATGAAACAAACAGCAAAAATGAAATTAAATTAGGGAGATTTATCGTGAACAGTTGTTGTTTCACGCTGGTTTGGGTTTCAGCAAGAGCACAGACAAGTGAAATATCAGCACAAAGACATAAATTAAGTAGGAATACTCTAAGAAAAAATCGTGTTTATTCTGTGCAACCAGCCATGTCATTTGTCACCTTACAACACAGGAGTCAGGACATTGGTGGGAGCTCCTGGTTGTGCCTGAAAGGTGCTTTATCAAGGTGCAGATATTAATATTGCAACAAACAGGGGAGATTTGTTTTTAAAAGGAATTGGAGGCATCCTGTTGTGTCAGACAAAGTTCTCTGAGCAATAAAAAATAAAGCCACAAGTTGAAGTCTTATGGTAGTGATATATTCCTCTCTGGATGTACTGAAGATGTCTGAGTGTGCCTTTCACTAACTCCAGCACAACTGCTGATTTCAGATGAGATTTGGGTGGAGATGACAGTGACCTGTAGGTGCTGAGCTCTGCCTTCATCTAAAGGTAACACTTCAGTCATTAGGGAGTCACTTTGCGTAGCCGTAGACTGACCTGTGGACATCAGTTGTCCACAGTTGTCCTTATTAAATGCAGAAGAGAAGACAGCCGGAGGGAAATGACCTGTTTAAAGGAAAACTGGGATAAATACTGTTTTAAATGGGTGACTACAGCTGTGGGAGAGAGGAGAACCGGCAGGATGGTGCAAAGCAGGTGACAGGGACCTGCTGAGATGGACTTCTCAGCAGCCTGGTGGAGGGTGATGAAGCCTCTGTGCCATGAAAGGCTCTCCAGCCCAAATGCACGCTCCCTGTCCCCATCTGTGCCTGAAGCAATTGTGCCATGGGGTCCCCCCAAATCCTGTCAGCCCCCCAAAACCCCGGTCATGCTTTAGGGAACCACTGTCATATTATTGCAGGAGCAACCTATGGATCAAGCGGTGATGAAGATCATACAAACACAGGGCAATATATGGTCATTGCATCCTCGTACAGATCCCCTCTAAGACACTGGCCATTAGAACTCCTTTGGAAGTCCATAGACTCCACGCAGAGGCAAGGCAGCTTGCTCTGCTGGTCCCAGGAGGACCTCCTTGTATTGCTGCAGCTGTGAGGGAGGTGAACCTCCCCAGTTTAATCTCTTCATTCTCTTTCCCCACTCTTCTTTCTCTGCTTTCCTCCCATAACAGTAGTCCCTGGTTGGCTTTTCTTACCAATTAAATTCCCTGGCATGAACCGAACAGGTTTTGTTGCTAAGAAGCTTTCTACAGCAGTAGAGATATGGACAGGACTGTCCCAAAGCACAGTTACTGCTAGAAACCCTATAAACCCTGTATCTCTAAATAAATCGAATATATTCCCTTAAATACAGAGCATTTAAAACCCACACCGCATTTGTTCTTCAGATTCCCATCACCATATTCTGGCAAGCTTGGAGGTGAAATCCTTTGGCTACCACCTAATACAGCTATTGACACTTAGGCGTGGAACAAAGTGACTTGCCACAGCTTTCAGGTATAAGGAAGAATTGGAGGATTTTTTTGTGTTTGTCCACACAGGGTCCAACACTCCTGTGCAGACCCATTTTACAGCAGATATAAAATAAATTCAGTGCATCCAGCAAGCCTCCGCTCTGCTCTGCCTAGGCTATAGAGCGGGGCTGCTGTCAGGGTAAGCTGAAGGCAAACAGGGCTTAGCACTCATATCTCGACTAGATTTGTGGTTCCATTTCTTCCTTCATTCCAGGTGGAGGCTGGACAAGCTGCTGGAGGAGAAATTCATGGAGGATTATAAAATAAACAACCCCCACATTTGGCTCAGGAAGCCCTGAACAACATTACTGAGGGCTGTGAAAGTATATGCATGCATACATATACATATGTATGTATGTGTCTATACTCATGTATGTGTAACAGTTGTCCTGTTCTCATACTTTTTCTTTGGCACCTGCCTCTGTCCCCATCCCAGGCAGGGTGCTGGGATGCTTTCAGCCTGATTTCATAAGTCCATTCTTGTCCTTCAGGCACTTTGGTGCCTGAATGTCCATGTAGGTGTCTAATACCCCACATCCGTCTCCCAGTCTCTCCGTCTCTCCCATTGTCAGGCACAGCCTGACTCACGTCCCCTTCCTTGCTTTCCATTTGGTCATGTCATTTCTAAGCCACCTTCCTTCCCTATTCCCCACCCATGCATATGGATTTATTTTTCCCCAATGGCCACGTCTTTCCCTTCTTTGAAATCATTTGCAGAAAGCTAGCGTTAACTTGGTTTAATTAAAGCCCCTGCATGTTTATCATGTCTTTGAATCATTTCCTTCAAGCAATCTTCATATGAAGTTATCACTTTGTGAAAACACGATCCAAAACCGCAGCTCAGGGCACAGTGGGAAGCACACAAAGGGAGAGCCGAGTAGCTTGGAAAGTTTGGGTGAGCTGTTTGCTAGAAGCTGCCGAGCCCACCCCTCCAAGACCTTTATTTCCCCCTGCGGCAGCTGTCATCTGATCCCACGCTTTGGCTTTGAATGGGGCTCTCTGAGGATGCCAGATGTTGGGAACAAAGGTCTAAAAATAATCTTTCCAAATAATCTTCCCATCTATCATTCAAGGAGAGCATGTGCTTTGTGTGAACACGTGAGCTGAGAACCTGATCTAACTTTGAGTAAAGAAGTTCAACAGCAGCTCCTGGCTTCTGCTTGTGGGCTCCTTTTTTTTTTTTTTTCCCCCTTTCCCTTCCCAGAAGCTGCGCAGCGAAAAGCGGCTCTCACCAGCGATCAGCCCTCGCTCTCCCTCCCTCCCCGTCTCCCTCTCTCCTTGCCAAGACTCTGAATCGTCTGGATCCCGAAAACCGGGCTCCTTATTTCATCTCTCCTTGGGAACATGGATGCAAGGGTGCTGTCAGAGATGCATTTCTGTAAAAAGATCTTCACTGCAGCCTTGTGTGTCTTAGTTTTGCTGCCAGATTCCGGCTGTGCAAAGAATCTCTGGAAGCGTGCTCTACATCTGAAAATGACGGAGAAATACGATGTGAGTAAACAGCGGTGGGGTGATTTTGGGGGAGCTGGGTATGCTCACTGTGAAAGGGGAGTTTTCTTTACGTGTGTGTATCATTTTAGAATAAGAAGTATTTGAATCCGCAGACTGTCTCTTTATAAAAGTGCTGCATTAAGTTTCCCAGGCTGTACTAAACTTTTGCCACCTAGCTGCTGCAATGGGAAACTGGTAAAGCACGCTTCAACAGTGAGAAGACTTTGGTACGGCAGCCGTCACTGCTTTTCCTAGAAACTTCATCGGGCAGCGAGGGAAGTGTGAATGGGGAGAAGGGGAATGCAAAACCTATGTGTCTGAGGATAGATTTAGTGAAAAGAAGACAATGTTATTCATTGCTTAGAGCAGGGAGGAGGGTTCCCTGCCCAGTTCCTCCACTGCCTTTTGGGGTAACTTTGGGTAAATGTCTCCAACTCCTAGTGATAATGTACTAGAGGGACGGTGGCATTGCCTAGGGTTTTGTAAATCTCTGGAGCACAGAGACCTCCAGATCCACAGTGTCAAAGCAACGTGCCAATCGCAGGTTAAGCCACCTTCTTATCCTCAAGCCATCACAAGTAAGAGCAAACCAGGAAAGGGCAGAAGACTTGCTGTGCAAGAAAACAGCATAGAGCTGCAGAGGCTCCCGTGTCCCCTGTGTGCCCAGGGAGCACGGGCTGTGCCTGCCCACTGTGTCAGAGGGGAAAAAGAGCCATGTGGTTATTTGCTGGTGGGGTACTGAGCGCAACCAGCGTCTCCAAATCTGTGGTGGTACTTAGAGCAGTACTGGAATTGAAACTGAAGCAGCAACAGGTTACTGTGAGTGGAGAAAAGGATGGTGCCAGGTCTTGTTCTGGTGTGTCTGGGCCGAAATGCTGTTAGAGATGGCCATGGAGGAAATTTTTAAAAAAAAAAAAAAAAAAGGAAAATAATTTGATAGCTTGACTTTCAGGACCTGCTGTTTAGAAAGAAAAAAAATTTGAATTTGAAATTTTGACTTACTCCATTAAAGTCCTCTTACAAGCCAGCACTGACCCAAGGCTTCTGCCCATTGAATCGCTCAGGTGGAACTCCAGCCAGTCTGTTTTCTCATGCTCACATTTGATTGCATCTTCCAGCCATTGCATGTGCATAAACAGCTCCTTGGTGTCACAGAGGGATTCCTCCACCTGTTTTCTGCAGCCACATATAAAAGCTTTTAATTTAAACTGGATGCTTTTTTGCCCATGACATCTAGAGTGATGTTCGGGGACAGCTACATTTGGTTTGTGCGATTGCTGACTCAAAAGTGTGATACATGTCTTTTGCCCGTGCGGAGTGAACTGAAATACGGTGCTCTTGTCTTCTTGAAATTTTGCAGAAAACATTGTGCTGATATTTGAAAGGCACCCCAGTATTTTACAATAAGAAATTTTCTTCATTGTAGCCTCCCTTGGGACAGGGCATCATCTGGTTTGCACTGTAATTGGAAAATAGTGACATGAAGAGCTGTGTTTCCTGCAAAATCACTCACCAGAAAGTGTATTTATTAGTATGTTCTTCTGTCATATTTCAATGCAAAGCTCCAATTCAATAGGAGCTATGAAGTAAATGACCCAGAGAGATAGGACAGGAGTAGAACAGGAATCTACATGTTGATCTTCAGATAATGTGCTCTGTAGAGGCGCAGAGCCCACTCCCCTGGGGATATATCCTCTTCTTTCAATCTGCAGTTCTTCAAAGGACTGTTTTTTCTGGCAGCCGTGAATCCAGGTGCTACTGATCTGGCAAGTTCAGCTAGAATTGCTCATATTGACAGAAACATCTTATCTAGGGAAAACAGAAAATGCTTTTCTTTTTCCTTCTCCTCAAAGCCTTGTAAGGAGGGAGGCGTCCGCTCGCCATCCTCTTATCCACCAAGAGTCTGTTTTGGCAGCCCCTCTTGTTTCTCAGAGAGATGCTTTCTTTTCTACCAAATGCTGTATGTTCCCTACAGTTTGAAAATCGGAGGCTGTGGGTGGAACAGCTGATTTGTGAGTCACTTGGATAGAGGGGTAACAGATGGAGGTGCTCACAGCAACGTGCAGCCATACAGGAGATGGGCCATAGACATCCCTGTGCGACCCCCAGAAGGACACGGGCAAGGTCTGTAGGGGGAAGACGTGGTGAGGGGTAGGGAGTTGACTGAGAGTCGTGTTGTCTGAGTCCAGAAAATCTGAGTCCACAGTAGGAGCAATGCATCCACCAAACTGCTGGCTGCAGACTGGCGAGCAGGTGTTACGATGAGGAGCTGGCTTGAGGTCTGGCCAGGAGTTTTTCATTCAGGACTCTGAGGAAGGGTGTTGGTTGGCAAGGAGGGGTCAAGTGGGAACGGAGAAGGGAGGAAGAGGAGAGGGAATGCAGTGGGAAGAGAAAACTGGCAGTCACAGCGGGATGGAGGAGCTGGGCTTCCAGCTTTTAGCTTTTTAGCAAATCCACGTATTTTACAGCCAGAGGGACACTCGTCAAGTGTAGTGATTTGCAGCTGGTGTTCTGCAGCCCCCGCACAGTCTGTGGGTTGCTCTCAAAGGGCAGAGGGAGGGGGCTACTTGGGGGTGCTCTTCAACTCATTATCAAGACACCCACATCTATTAGAAAAACCTGGGGCAGTCTTGATTTTATTCCAGTGTCAACTACATCAAGCATTTTAGAAAAAAATCCAGCCGCCTTTTAAAGATTTCCAGAAATGAAGAATTCCTTGCAGCTGCTGTAATGTTCTTCCAACAATTTATTTACCCCCCAGCTAGCTGTCATAAATCAACACTGAGATACCCTCTCCATCTACCAGATTAGCACACCTCCCATGAGAGTTCTGTCCCGCATGTGCCTCAGAGTAACGTATGAGCAGAGCAGCCTTCAGCCTCCCCTTTGAAACCCGCATACGCATATATAAGTCTTGCACTGTATTCCCTGCTTTCCAGTCCTCTAATCGCTGTCATACATCTTCTTTGAGCCCACCCTAATTTTGCAACAATCTTCCAGTACTGCAGACACCAGAACCAAAACTACTAATCCAGAGTCAATAGCAGGAGAATATTATTCCTATTGTTTAGGTCTTGTCCTTCAGATTATTTCACCCTCCTTCAGTCTGATATTTGCAACTTTGATCACCAATGATCTGTTTTTCCAGGTCTTTGATAGAAATATTGGAGGGCTCTAAATTCCTCCTGACTCTGTATTGTTTCAGAGAAAAGGCGGTTTATGGCCGGTGTTTGGAAATACCTGCCAGGGGCAGAACTGGTGACAAGAGGCTGGGAATAAACCTCACGCGTGATCTCAGGGGTGGCCATGCAGAATATGAATTAGCAGAGAATTGCGCTTTGACAGCGTCCAGTTTCAGGCACAAATAATAGAACAGATCTGGGATTTTTTGGAGGCGGACTCCATCCCACAGTTACTATTGAAAATACGGATTGAGAGTGAGTGATTGCATTCAGGTTTTTCCTGGTCATCTTCACTGACCTCCAGGGTTCCTCAGCTGAACTCTGAACTTTTCCCCTTACTTTGTTTCTGGATATGTCTAAGGCAGATATTGTAATTAAAATGATTTAATAAGTCTCCATGGGAAAGAATTAAAAAATATTCTTAAAGGAAGAAATTTTGACTGTTGTTACAATCTGTAAAAATAATAAATCCGAGCTATGCTCAGAGCCAAACTGTGAATCCTGGGACAGCTTTTAAAAAGAGCTTGTAACCCATACCTTAACCAGGATATTTTGGGAATGGGGGAATCCTGTTTCCCACTGGGATGGTTTATGCATACAATGGTTTTATTAGATCAAATGCGCAAAAAATATTTTTTTGACCATGAGGTTTTGAGAGAAAGGGGTTCAGAGCAATAGGTGACCAGAGAAAAGGGGCAGGGAAGTCATGAGGTACAAAGTTATTTGGCTAAAAATGTTATATTGTTCCCAAACGGAAATCTCATTCATTGAGCCAACTGTTCATTGCAATTTTGGCTTCTTGGTTTCTGAATCATCTGTGAAGCAACTGCAGTAATTGTTTTGGGGTTTGGGTTTTTTTTTTTCATGTATCCATTATTTGCCAGTATTATTTTGGTCACATTTCAGTCTGTAGCTGACATTTCAAATAATAGAAGAGTAAACTGTGACCTTCCAGGATGAATGCTCCCTCCAACAAGGAGACCTGTTAAATGTTTGGAACTGCGTGGGTTTACTGTTAAATGCTGTCTTATATCCAAAATTATACTTGGTCCAAGCATTTTCTTTATTTAAAATCCCACAACAGCAAAAAAAGTTGAACTTGCAATATCTTGAATTCAAAAGTATTCAAACATATTTCGAAGTATTCACATATTTCAAGGCTGGAGTGTTTTCAGCTTTTGAGGAATGGGATGGTGTGATAGCTTACACCTTGTTTTACACTTCAACATTGAAAACATCATCAAAATTAGGAAATTTTTTTTTCAAACCTATTTTGTCGTTCAAACAGCCTATCAGTTCATGGGAAAACAACCTCACGGAAGGGTTTTTGAGCAGTTTCTTGTTCACTGAATGGAAACAACTAAGGAAAAAGAAGAAGAAAATTGTTTATTGACATTGGGAACAGGGCAGGCTGATACTGGGAACAGGGCAGGAGGCTGTCGTTTGTGGAAATACTAGGAATTCTCTGTCTCTCACACACAGACACACACACACATTATTTAACCAGTTATAGATATAACCAGGATATGGATTTTCTTTAACATACACCTTGTAACAGAAATTAAAACTTTTAATCATCCTGACTTTTCTCTGTACTTCTACATTGGCTGACACTCAATCGCTGTGCAACCAGGCAGCGGAGAAACTTCGCTGCTCTCTGTTTCCCCCTAGTTATGGCTCAAAGAAGGGAGGTCAGCTTTGGTGTAAAAACCACCACCTTATCAATACGATTCCACGCTACATACAATATGGAAGTAAAATTTCTCACATCAGTACCACAAACAGCGTGCATCGTTATTTCTTTTGCTGTCCCTTGGGATTGCCTTCATTCTCTACATTACAAATTGTCCCAAGGGAGTGAAGATGATACCGTTTTCACCGTTACTGATAATTGATTGCTGCTGGGTCACGCATAGCAGCAGAGGCCGTGCCGGCCAGCAGTCAGTCCCCAGGGCAATGGACCTCCTGGGGCCTCTCCTAGGACATTTTTTTGGACAGTACATGTGGGGACATGCTGTTTCTCAAAGGCACATATGCTCCACAGAAGCCTTTGGGAGGTTTCAACAATGAGGATGTAGCAGCATGTCAAGAGGGATATTAGTCTCACCTCAAATTTCTCCATAGCCTGATGGTGAAATTTCCTAGAGACCCCCTCGGGGACGGTTGCACCATGTTGTTTCTTGGAAAAACAACCCCAGTTGTTCGTCACTGATTTTGTAACACAACAGTGATCGGGCCAACTATACATAGGACTCTTAAACTCAACAGCCTGCTAGCGAGCGCATGGCAGCGCTCACTTCATACCTCTGGCTAGACGCGGAGCTCTTTTAAAAGTGCAGAATCCGTCTTTTGATTTGATTAGAGCTTATTAATGTTTGTTAATAAATCTGAGAACTGATTGCCCTTTCTGAGTACTTTACGCTGCTCTGAGGAGCTGAGCTCAAGCCCAGGGATGAGTAGTTTAGCCATAGGTGAGAAAGGAGTGGGCTTGGGTGATTCATCTTGCTTTGGAGGGAGTTGGCTTCTTGCTAAAATGCTGCCAGCGTGAATAATATCTGAATGCTGCCTCTTATAAATGTTTCTGGTAAAATCCTGTGCCTGTTAACCCATTTTAAATCTCCCTTGTCCTTTCGGTGTGCAGTCAGCAGCTGGGCTCCTTTCTGCTGTAGTCAAACACAGCCTCATTTTCTTTGGGATTAAACTGACATCACCCAAACAGATCTCACCCGGATCATCTCATGTTTTAGAAATGGTCTCTAATTTAACAACCCAGGACCCCACAGTGGATAAGCTTGAAAGACTCCCCTATAAATTGTGGTCCAGAGAAAGGTGATGAAGGTAGAAGGAGCCTATTGAGGGGACAGTGCTACCTGGGACATTAGTTCCAGGTCCCATTTGGGGACGTTATCTCCAAACAATACAGTGTCATCATTTCCACTGCTTTACTATCAAAGTGTTTTGGCATGCTCGTCATGAGGATGCCTGGAGTCTTTCTCTCTGTTTCCCAGACAAGTATAAAAGACTTTAAAGGATTTTTTTTTTACCTCCTCATTGTCATTACAATAACCTTAATTATAAAATGAGTTCCACACAATAATTTGGTGGTTTGGTGTTTCCAAAGCAGTGTGCTAAGGTGATCATATAGCGCTCTCTTCAGTGTGCTGAAGACAGGGCTGGGATTGCTGAACGGTTAATTCTCCTCTCTAATGGATACTTGAAAACCACTTTGAAAATCCCTCTTCTGTTTCAGCTGATGGGATGTTTGGTATTCACCTTATGCCAAACCTGTGTTTCCTTTTCTTCTCTTTACAAGGATTATGAGTACCCTCTTCATTCTCACAGTTCCCACTACCAGAAGAACGACCGCTGCCCCCCACCGCCCCAGACTTTGCCTGACCGAGCCTGTGAGGTGCCCAGCTGCCGGTCGGATTCAGAGTGTGAAAGGCACAAGCGCTGCTGCTACAACGGGTGCATCTACGCCTGCCTGGAGTCTGTACAGCCACCGCCAGGTAGAGTGGACCCAGCGATCAGATTATGGTAGAGAAGCATGCAGAAATCACGGTAGTCCTCCCCATGTGCATTGGGTCTCAGGTGGGAGGCATGGTGTAAGTGTGAATTGAGGATAAAGCTTCGGTTCCATACTTCTGATTTCTGGGATGATTGCTGAATCAAGAAATTATCCAAGGTCAGCTTGTGTTGCAAAATTTCCACCAGCACCAATGGTAGAAATCATTTCAGGCTAGTTCTTTTCCTGTAATTATATATTCGGGAAAAGTAATCCCAATCGGAATTAGTGCTCACAGAAGCCAGGCATCTCATCTGATCCATGCCATGGGAATGGAGGATGGGAAACAACAGGTGCTTTGGCCTTTATGACACCAGGCTCTTGCGGCCCTGGATAACATCCGTGGCTCTCTTGCCACTGGGACAACAACAGCATAAATATAAGTATCTTGCTGAAAACCCAAATCCATCCTTCAGGAGCCTGGCAGCCTCGTCACGGGCTGTTAGAAGAAGTCTGTGACTTTTCCATAACTTGTGCCTTATGGCTACTCCACCTTGACTCTGTGGTTTCTTGTTTCTGTCTTTTACAGTTTTAGACTGGCTGGTTCAGCCCAAACCCCGCTGGCTGGGAGGAAATGGGTGGCTTTTGGATGGCCCAGAGGAAGTCTTACAAGGTACGGTACATTTCACTGTCTTCTCTGTGAGATCAGTAATTATACAAAAGGCACTAAATAATATATTCATCACACACAGGGCTTGCCAGGGTTGTTGGGTTGCTGGGGCTACTGGTATTTGTCTGGAGATTCCGTAGGAATAACATTGTGTTGTGCAGGGGGCTGGTGTCTTGTGCAGTACATCAGTTGCTTTTTATGGATATGGCTTATCCAGCAGAGCACTAGGAATACTCCAGGGAACTGGATTTGTGTCCATTCTTGAAATAAGTAGAAATACATAATTTTTTAGAAAAAGGCTTTGTCAGCACACACAGATTTTCTGCCAGATGCCTGATAGACTGTGAGCAGACTTGGATTAGGAGGTCTCTTAGTCCAGAGTGGCCTCACCGCACAGATGCCTTGGGCTGGGGCTCTGGCTCTCAGCGCTGAAGACTGCTTTGAACGAGAGCCCTGGCAAACTGCTGCAAAGTTGTGTCAAGCTGACATGGAGCTGGGAGCATCTAGGCTTGGGGACTGCTAATGAGACTGGGCTTCTCAGATTAATTCCATAGAGAAAGGTCCTTTAATTAATTTTTTCCAATACCTCAAAGTGAAACAAGGAGGGAGTTGGGAGGTGGGAAGAGAAGTTTTCTTCTGCGAGACATCCCCAGATGTGTGTATGCCTGAAGTTCTTAATTCCTTCATGGAAAAGCTATTCCAGCTTTTGATCAGCTTTAGTCAGACACAAGTAGTGCCAATAAATTACCCGCTTTGGTCTTACACAGATGGTATCAGACTCGCCAAATTCTCATCTATTATGGAAACTCCTAGTTCTTCAAGAGAAAATTCTGCCTCCAGCTCATTGGAGTTGCACTGTGAGAAATAAGATAAAATAGGTTCCTCCTCATCCATCCCTGTCATGCTAATATTATTTGTTCTTATCTTAACACCTTCATCTCAGCTTGAGGGAGTAATTAGTGAAGTAAGAACCATCAGTCATGGCATGAGGATTACAGCAGAGGTCCTTGAAATTAAAATCCTGGCAAATGAACAGGTGGAGAGTCCCTGCATAGTCTGTGCTTTTAATGGACACAAACACTGCCTGTGAGTCCTGCTTTACTTTCTTATTCTGCTCTGCACTTGTTGAAAATCCAGGGTCAAGGCAGTTAAAGCCTCCATTTGTAACAGAGGGTGGTACTGCCTTACTCCGTAGTGAGTCACATCTGAGGTTTAAATTCATCAGTAAATTAATGGGTGTGGAGCAAAGAACAAAGCAGCAAACTGCCAGCTTCCTGATCACGTTTCCCTGATTCCTCACCCAGCCCGAAACACTGGCTGGAACAGACTTATGGCTGCTTGGAGGAAAAAGACGCGTGGAGGGACCACCTGTCAGTGCGAGCATGGTGGTCAGTGGTGGTCGGTCTTCACTGCTCTCCAGCCTTCGCACAGACCCTGCACAACAGGCTGTGGGGAGGGTGTCGTTACAGGTAATCGGGCTGACCTGCACTCCCCATATCGGGCTAGACACGTCAGTTTTTGTGTAAGGTGTGAACTAGATCACCTGCTCTGCCAGGCTTCTTTAGAGGTGTTAGCTCCTTGATACCCTTGCATGGGAAGTAGTCTGAGATCCTGTCTGGGAGGAGATACAGAAGAAGGTGGCCGTGTTGTCATATTTTGGTTACCTGTGGGTGTTAAAGCCATGATTTATGACCTGCAGGCTTCTTTTGCAGCTGAGGCCTGCAGTACCACTGAGGATGGAGATGAGCCTCTGCATTGCCCCACAGGCTATGAATGCCATATCATCAACCCGGGTAACACGGCTGAAGGAATCCCTAACAGGGGCCAGTGCATCAAGCTCCGTGGAAATCCAGGTCCGTTGACTGGAAATCTCCCTTCCTTTCTTGTTCTGCCATGCAAACACCAGTAAGGGACGGTGCGCTCTCACTGGCTTTGAAGGAGATCTGGTGGTACATCTGCTCTCATGGGCTTCCTGGGTTTTCCGGGCAGCCCAAGGCCCCAAGGCAGTGTGTGACAGCTGGGCTGGGAGACAGTCCCCGCTCTGCAGCAAGCTCAAGTCTCTAATGCCCTTGATGTTGGCTGAGCTATGTGAAATACCCAAAGCAGGGGATACGCTCTGTATGCCAGTGTCCTCTGGGATTGTGTAAGCAGAGCAGGTAGTAACCTGCATGTGCCATCATTACGCAGCACAAAAAATAGAAATATTTCTGTATTACTACACACTTAACTAAGAAATACGAGTTTCAAATTCCAGTTTTGACTTCTGACTTTGCTTTGTGCATCCAAAACCTTGTTCCCTTTATTCTGCTGACACATTTGCCCGATAAAGGAACTTATATAGGCCGAGCTATTTTCCAGGAAAGCTTATAACATGTCTAGGTATGTGTAACTTCATTGAATAGTAGGATATGTATGTCTGCAATGGGCTAAAATCATCTCAGTGTAGAGACACGAGACATCAGTTTTGCCATTTGGTCACTGTAAAAGTCAGTGGAAGCATCAAAACAGATCTCTGAACTGCTTCCATAAAAGACTATGATTTTTTCCAGGGCTTTTTGATCATCTCTTTTATTCTTTTGTAACTTTTTCTTTTATAACAGCTGTAGTATACAGTATACAGTAGTAACAGCTGTATAACGAATGTAATGTATAGCTGTATGACTCTTAGACACGAAGTATTTGTAAGAGCTTAAATAATTATATAAATGTAATCAGAAAAACCTAGCTGGAACTTGAATTATGTAAAACACTAATAGGTGGTCTGAAATTTTACCCAAATTTTCTTTCATTTGAGAAAGTCTGTGATTCCTTGACTCATAGCTACTGAAAAGAACATAGCACGCTAGTGGCCAGCAGTTAACCGCTCTCATGGAAAGTGAGTTGTGTCCACGTAGGTCAATAATCTAAACAGTTTTATAAGAGGTTTATAGCAGTCTACACTACTTCAGCTACAGACATCTTTTATTTTCCTCTTTGTGAGGTTATTATTTCCATATCTATAATTTCTCTGTGCTGTACACAGAGGGCCGGAGCTTAACACAAAGAATGAAGGCTGACTGGATATATTCTCATTATGTACCTTCTTTTTCAGATGGACGCAACCTGAGGCATAAGTATTACAAGGAATATTTTGGTAAGCCACTGGCATGAAGCGTTTGCTTTTATTAAGCATTGCTTACAGGGAATTTGCTGCTTATGAAATGAAGGTTCGTACATAGCAAAAAGAGATACTTTAGCCTCAACTCTCTATGCCATGGTCAAAAGATCTTATTTTAAGATCTGCAGTGCCCTGACTGTGGACTCTTGAGAAGCAGTATCTCCAGCTGTGACACAATGTGTTAAATGGTGCAGCCTTCTGCCAGGGGTTCCCACACAAGGCGGGAGAAATACCCAATCCAATGACCTTTTGTTATTTTTAAGTATATTTGTGGAGCTTTGCTCATGGCCCAGGACTCCTTGCAGATGAACACAGAACTCTGTCAAAAGCAGGGTCTTTTGCCAAGAGCTTGTATTGTGGTATGTGATAAGAGATGACTGGAGCCCTTGTTGTTGTCTGCAACCACAAGAGATGTAAGGTCCCTTGCACAAATTGATAGATATGTGTCTCAAAGAAAGCAGGAGCACCTTCCAGAAGATCTCTTTTTTCTCATGGCTTCAAGGCTCCTGGTTTCTGCTAACTCTTGGATCTAGAGGAGGACAGTCAGATCAGATCAGATTGGAAGTGATATTCAGATGTAATTAGACAACATCTTTGATATGATAAGATTTACGAACAGCCAGATTTGGCCAATTTAGGTGATAAAACATGATTTCCTTTCCTCTGTCCAGCAGGCTATCGCAGCTCTTCCAGAGAACTGCTAAATAATGCGACCAGTAAAACTGTACTGCTTAGAGAATCTTGATAAAACATTTGCTACACACTAACTTAAAATCTAACTTTGCTGATATTTGTTTTACAGGGAGCAATTCCAACAATGTGGTCGGCTATGTGAAAAACCAGCAGAAACATTTAGGCTAATCAAAGGTGTGCCTGGGTAAGTGTCCTGTGAATAAAGGGAAAGCTGGGTGAAAATAGTTGTTGCTTAGTATGCAATTATTTAAAGAAATGGTTGTTTGAGGGTGAAATTACCTCTCATCAAAACGCCAGTATAAGAACAGCACCTTAAATCTATGTACAGGTGCATATCCCAGGCTCCATGAAACACCTATGCCAACAAACAGATGGTGCTGTAAAAGTATCCCAAGAACCTGTGGCATTGGAGATTGAGCTCTGCAAACTGTCCGTGGAGAAGTTAATGTCTCTCCCAAATCTTACTCCCTCGCCTCCCACTTTTTATTCTAATTTCACAAGATGCACGTGATTTCTTTGAAGAACCTTTGCCTCGCGGGTGTTTAGAGGATGGAGTGATTTTCAGGATGAAAAATAAATGCTGCAAAACTTTGTGTGCCTTAAGGCTTTAAACTTTCTCTTTTAGGGTCTTCTTCTAATGCAGGTATAAGTGTTCCTGCAAGACAAATTAAAAAGCTCTTTATTCTGGACTGATTGCAGTAAGGGTCAGTCTTGCAAATACTTAGGCATATGGGCGATTTTGTGGGGTAACTTTATGTGTGTGAACAGTTGCACTGAACAGTGTGACCCGCTCATGTGGGTAAACGTACTTGTACCTGGCTAGAGCGAAGCCAACTGAAAAAGCTCCAATCATTTTATCAGGCTTTGAATTAGGCAAGAATGAAAATATTTATTAACCAAAGGTTCTGTCCCAAGATGGTTTTCTCAACACTTTCAGCTTCACTTTAAAACTAACCTGAGCTTAACTGGCAGTTATGAAAACAAAGCAGTTCAGTGTGTCTTTAATGTACCTACGTCAGGCTGACTGTTAAGATTACACAGCTACATAAGGACAAGTTCTGTGCAAACATCCCAGGAAGGATAAATATTTTAATTCCTTTTTTCTTTTTGATTTTCACCCAGCTGGAGCACTCTGTTTAGCAGCTGTCAAGGAATGCTTTCCCCAACAGTTTTGGAAGAATTCTGGTCCCAAATCTCCACAAGCATGTCTCCAGCATTACCCTGATCCCTGCCCGCCAGTGATAAAAAGACTTCGTTATTCAAGGCACAGGATGAGTCTCAATTTTAAGCCTATCAGCAGGGGGAGAAATGTGATCCCTGAAAGAAACCACACTGTTTATCAGCTGCCCTTCTACCAATGAAATGTAAATACCTCTGCGTGGATCCCTGTAAGGCTGCTGGAACAGAGCCTGCCCTTTATGTGCATATTATGTGACCAATTCAGATTTCATGACCATGAACGTAACTCAGTATTATAAAAATGAAGTGACGTCAGAACTGTACCTAAATATCATATCTAAGTTGCATTAAAATAGGCAAGAATGTAAGACTAAAGGGGCTCTCTGGATCAAATCCAGTGCCTGCCCAACTCGAACAACTACTTTAAATAAGCCTTTTCATAAGCGTAAAGTTCGAAGAAACCTGCAGGTTTCTTCTTTTCCTATTTATACCTAGGCTTCACCAGGTTTGACATCCAGTTTACAAGCCTAAACCTGACATCTTAAGAATTTGAGGAACTCTGAGCTAGGAGCAAAACAGGTTTTTAAATGGTTTTTTTAAGTTACTTTCCTTTAGCTTCTCAGTCTGGCGAGCTGCAGATCAAGAGCTAATGTTGGAATAGATTTCTTTCTACAATACCTAAGCCAGTCTTTTTAAGTTGTTTTTAGCCAGCACAGTTAATACTCACAAAATGTACATCTGCGTTTTTGTACGTGCAAAACCTCAGCGAGAGCGATGAAGTCTGGATTATTTGTTGCACATACTAGAAAAGAAAAAGCAGGATAAATTTATGTGATCAGAAAGATTGTCTGGCAGATGGGCAACCGCTTTTTAGAAGTCCTGTACCTTTCATAAATCCTTAAGGTCAAGTTATTTGTATTTGGGCCTTACAGCTTCTTTTGGCTGTTCAGCATTATAAAATGGAAAACACATTTTCTAGGAGTGTTTTCCTTTTCTGTGGCAGTCCTAAAGGGACAGTTGCATTTCATTTTGACAAATCTGCCAGAATTGCTAGGCAAAAGAAGCCATGTTTGCTCCCTTGCTTAGTACGTGTCCCCATCTGCATGCATAAAATTAGCATTTTAATATGCAGAGTAGTAGCGGTGTATATAGATACCCAATTCACAAATACAAGTGCCTGCTTCCACCCACAAACTACGGGATCTTTTTCCACTCACCAAATGTTTTAAGCCAAAGCTAAGATGCCTATAAAACACTTGATACTTTGCATGACATTTGCAGCTGGAGAGATGAAAGATGCCAAACTGCTCTTCTGTTTCCTATCATAAACAGGCACACTCCTCGATGCTTTACAGAGCAAAGGAGCCAATGAAGGGCTCCACATTTTCCTAAATACCTTCATTTGTTGAACTCCATTCACTTCTTTGTGCCTTTGTTCCAAGTTCTAGGTGTTAAATGCAACACCATATTCAGACAGATCTATTTCTAGAATTTTATCATATACAACTCCTATCTTAACTCCTGCTGAGAGACAGGAGTCCATCCGTATTTTGTAGTTCCAGTCTCAGTTTAGGCCAGAAACTTGCTGCTTTGCCACTGACACTACTTGACAACTTAAAGCAACACAGCTCATGATGAAAGTCTTAGTGCAGCCTTGCTCCTAGATGCTGCTCAGTGAAATGGGTTGATTTTTTTCAGCATTACTTTTTGCAGAAAAATCAAATTCTGATTAAATGAGCAAAGACCTTCAATGGTTACTGCTAAGTCCCAAAGAGTAAATGCCAAATTGTTCTATTTTAAAATAAAAAATTCAGTGCCTAGAAACATCAGAGGATCCAGCTGAAAAACATGTCTTGAGCATTAACAGATTTGCAAGATTAAAACTTCAGATCTCAACCTAATCTTGCAAAGCATCCAAAAATATGCTTAATTTGAGTGGACACATTCACTTCAGGGGCTGCTTTTTTGTAGCTACAAAAGCACATACTTGATCACCTTGCTGGATGGGAGGGTAAAGATATTTTCAACCTGCAAAAGTAATTTTTAAAAAAGAAAATTGACAAATTAATAATTTGTTGATGAATTTCTGTTTACTGGGTGTTATCAAAGACATCACCCTTCCTTATGGTGCTATAATGCTTCGGGTTTTTTTCAAGTTAATACTTTTCAAGTTATTAATTGTGAAACTCAGAAACAAAGGCCACAGAAGAGACTTGTCTAAATGCTGTGTTTTCAACACTGACATCCATCACATGTTGAAACGAAAACACAGACCACATGAGTTGTCCTCAGCTTGTCTTCTCTCCAAAGACAAATGTCTTAACGACAATCTTGTGAAGCACAGTAGGAAATCACTAACGTATGTTGTTTTTAATGTTCCCGTGTACACTTTAAAGCATGGTTGGTGCTATAATAAACTTTACGTGTATCACTGTGTGCTAGCAACGCTCATGGCCTTCCAGATCCTCGAGCGCTGCCCGTGGAGCTGCTCTGCCTTGCAGCAGCCGAGGATCTGCGGCAGCCCCAGGCAGACCTGTCCCGGTTTGTCCCCCTGGTGCTTACACATGTACAGGTTCTGCCACTTTGGTGCTCAATAAAAAGCGTCCAGTATATTTTTCAACTCTGCCTAGTTTCAGTTGTGTGTTCTTGACATACTCTTGGCTTCGAATTATGAAAAAAAGGACAAATCTTTTAAATTTTAGTTGTTGGGAGAGCTCAGAAAGCATAGGCACAGGGAGACAAAAGTAATTTTGTCCACTGGAAAGGAGGTGACAGGCCCCCAAAACACAACTACCACCAGTGTCCCCTTTCAGAGGGGCCACCTTTGTGGGTCAGACCCTCACTCAGTTCTTGGTGCCTTCATTTCGATTGCCCAAAGAGGAGCTGATGGACAGGACCGTAAAGAGGATAGTGATGGTGACCCAAGTAGAAGGTGACCCTTTTATTTGACCAGGCATTCTCCTTCTTGATTCAGAGCTGTTGTTCACTGCTGGATGGGTTTCAGCTGCCAGCTCAGGCGGTTTGTGCTGCGCAAGCAGTTGCTCAGACAGCTTTGCAGGAGGCCAAGGCTTGCTCGAAGGGTGGAAAAGTAAACCAAGTCGGAGGCCGGCGTTGGGCTGGTGCCCACTGCAGGATACCAGAGCTGCAAGAGGAGCCTGGAGCTGAGAGGTTGGGCTGCTGAGCACTGCGTTTCCAGGAGCAGGTAAGACTTCACCATCCCACCAGCTCCACCCACACCGGTTTTGCTCTACCTGCTCGTCTTGAGTGGGCAGGAGCCCTGCTGCATTGCTTCCCTTCTGCCCTGAAATCATAACAGAGGAGTCACAGGGAGGGAAACTGCCTGTAATTTAGCCAAGGAGGGAATAGCAGTGGGTTTCATTGCTTTGGAAAGGTTTTTTGTGGGTTATGAGAAAACGCCAGCTAACAGTAGGTGTCAGGGTAGCTCTTCAGTCTGGCAGTGAAGTCATCCTTGGGACGATTTGAACTTCTCACGGCAATGGTCATATGGCCTGTTTGGATGGGGAGGTGACGGGATGTGTGTACATAACTTGTGCCTCCTGCTGTGAAGTGTGAGGTGGACTAAGCACCTTGGCTTTCAAGAGAAGGATCTATTTGGTGAACACCACAGAATGATGTTTTGATTTCAACTTGTTTCCGTGTTAATGCAAGCAAATATAGTTTCTGTTGTTGTAGCTCGCTAACGGTGGAAAAAACATTGTGTGACCTAAAGCATCATCTGCAGATGACGCTGAAGTGCTACCAGTGCATTCATGAACCCAACAGCTGGCATCAACAGAAGGAAAAACATTATAATAGATCTTTAAGAAGTCAGGGGTCTGCATCTCTAGGTCTGCGTCTCTAGGTCTGCATCTCTAGGTCAGCAATCTGCAGAAGTTGTAAATATGAGAATAATAAAAAAAATTGCTGTAATTTTGACATGCCTAGTTCAGAACTCCATTAAGCTTTATGGTGCAGAAGTGTTTTGGTTACCTTCAGGAAGCTGTTCCATAGTTTCATGAGCAGTGAAGAAGCCTATGAGGTTGAGAGAATCCATGGAAGAGTCTTTGGAGACTGACAGTTTCTCTTTGCCTCTACTAGCAGGGTTTGTTCATACAGGGGGTTGTTTTCTTCTCCCACCTCATGCTGTTTACACAGGCTAGATTTTTCTCTGGAGGTGGTGTCAGGTGAGCATCGATTGTCTATGGCAAAAGGATTTACAGCATCATTTAGTGTCCTTTAAAGATAAATAAAGACGACACCTTTTGCTGGTGAATCTACAGAAGTAAGTCCTGTTTCTTCCCATTTTTTCCTCCTCCTTATTACCTTTCTATGTAGCCATATAGCAAGAACCACAGGAGAAGCTGTGCAAAACAAAAAAGACCTTTTGACGATTTCCAAGACGGAGATGTGGATGGTGGGGCTCACTTCACCCAGCCTGAGCCGCCCCACCAGGTGAGTCTCCCAATTTAAGCAGTGGAGGCTGTGCAAACAGAAACCAAGAGATTTAATTAAATTCCCCCTTCCTTCCTGGTGACACAATTAAGGACAGACCTAAAGATTTTACCTAGCCTTTACCAGTAGCACTGACAAGATGGAAAGGAACCGTGGCCCAAAACTTTGTTCTTTGCTTTTATAACCAGGAGCAGCAGATGTTCTGCCCAGGGGCCTGGGAAAAACGTGAAAGCAGAGTATGTGGATTTTTGGGTGGCAGCAAACTCAGCAAATTCTACCCATGCACCAGAGGTTTTTTCCCTCAAGGTGGCACAAGAGGAACAAAAGTGTGAGGAGCCCTGGTTACGGCGAGGGAAGCAGGTGAAGGAGCTGTGAGTTTTGAACTGAAAGCAGCACCCTGCCCTCACAGCGGCAATCTTTTGGGCTCACGTAATCTCAGATTACAGCTGCTTTGCTGTATATGTCTTCATAACAGGTATTTTCTATTTAAAAAAAAAAAAAAAAGGTTTCCCAAATAACCTATTTAGAACTGGAGTCTGACCCTGAGCTTTATTATCCAGTTAAATAGGAAATACTGTAAAGGTACTGTAATTGGGCTGTGTGTTATATTTTTATAGCGTGAAAATTATGTCTTATACCAGAATGGAGAAATACAAATATTAGTGTTGTTTTCTTTATATTATAGTCTTGAT